AAACTAAACTTATTCAGTCTTTTTCTAATTGAACTCTCATGACCTTTAACATTTAACATGCTATCGGAGACCTGTAGAGCCCGAGATGTTGCACGGTCTAACGTTGTGGTAAATTTGCTGGGACGTCCCACTCCTGGAAAGATTGGCAACTGTCTTCATTTCCACTTTTGAATGATGGACTGTAGAATGATGGACTTTCTCACTGTAGAATGATGGACTTTAAATAGTTTGGAAATGGCCTTATAACCATCCCAGTTTGATGGGCAGCAACTATTGCTTCTGCAAGATCATTGCTGATGTTTTTCCTCCTTGGCATTGTGTTAACGCACACCTGAATACTCCAGACCAGCAAACTGCTAAAACTTTGGCTTTTGTAGAGAAGGTCACACTTGCTGATGGACAGTTAATCAAGGGCATTTAATTAGCAGCACTTAGTCTGCTACTTATCCTCTTAATTCCCATGGAAGCAGTAAGGTTGTACTTAGTTTTTCAGACACGGCTTCTCCATTTTGGCTTTATTTTTGTTAAATAAATCATGACACAGTGTAATATGCCTTGTGTTGTTTTTCATCTGCTAATGAACAGAGATAATTGTTAATATGTTCTGATCAGGGCCAGCCTGTCCATAGTTTCCCATGGGATCATGGCTCCAGGTGGCACTTTGGTATTTTTGCTGCCCCTGTCACAATCTGACAGCACTTTGGGAGATTTCCTGGTGAGCTGCCCTGCTGCTGTGTTGGGAAGGAGCACTGGGCAAGTAGCTCCTTAGCCACCCCCTAGTGCACCAATTTCCTGGGCTGTGCTCCTTCTGCCACCGATTATCTGCTCAGGGAGTGGGGTGTGCTGTATCCCCAGCTCCTGAGCAGAACACACTGCTTTTTTTTCAGGGGAAGCCAGGTCATGACCTGGTATCCCTGCTGCCCCCTGCATGTGAACACGGTAAACACTGTGAATGGAAAGGAAGCAGCCTGTGCTTCAAGTGTACATATTTCAAGGGGTCCCCTGGACTTTAAGGAAGGGAAAGCATGACTGCTGCCCTACAGTAAAGGGTGGGATATACAGGGATACAATGTTTCAGAGAGGGGACTGTATAAGAAGGGGTGTAGAGGGATGGGTACTCACCATTTGCAGAAAGAAAGGCTGGAACAGGATTTTCCCTCATCCCTTCTGCTATTCACTAACACAAAAAAAAAAAATATGTATATATATATATATATATATATATATATATATATATATAAAACAAAACAAGAGAAATACCGGCACTCAAGGATTTTCATCACATAAGGTCTTCATTTATTGCGAAGAAAGAGGATCGACGTTTCAGCTCCTCACAGGAGCTTTCATCAGGACACCTTTTGTGTCCTGATGAAAGCTCCTGTGAGGAGCTGAAACGTCAATCCTCTTTCTTCGCAATAAATGAAGACTTTATGTGATGAAAATCCTTGAGTGCCGGTATTTCTCTTGTTTTGTATTATTCAGCTACCAGAGCACCAGGTATTTTTAATTATTTTGTTTTGGTTGGAGTGCAGGGGCTATCTAGATTTATATATATATATATATATATATATATATATATATACACATATATTTATTTATATTTCAGAGTTAGCTTAGGGTCAGTTTACTTACCTGACAGTTAGTGTCCTAGGCTTCCCTTCTTAAAGATGGCTGCTGTGTCCAAAGATGCGCTGATTGGGATGCTGCAGGCTTACCTGGCTTTCAATGGAGCGGGTTCCCTGCCAGAGGTGATGGCCGGTCTTCCCCAGGAGATGATGGGAGCAGAGCAGCAAGTGGCAGAGAGTCCATCTCTGACAAGCGGTAGGAGGTCAAGGCGGTCCAGGCCTCCTACTCACCTTTCCCCGAGTCCGGTTCGATGGAGCAGGGGAGCAGGGGTCGGTATGAGCGGGAGGCAGTCTGCACTCGTCATGCCTTCTTTTCCGGCTCAGGCGGAGGTGAGGGAGAAACGCTCGGAGCTTGGAGTTGCCGGGGCGTGTAAGTGATGGAGACACATTGCAGAGTGATGACGTCACAGGCCCCGTCATTTTGGAACCCAGAAGTGGGTAAATTTTGCTGATCGGATACCCAGGAGAACCGGGAAAGGGCTGAAGGTGACGACCGAGGGCCATTCCAGCACAGGAGGGTATCAGAGGCTGCTTCTCAGCTGTAGGGAGATGTGGAAGCAGGATGGAATCGGGGTGCAGTGCCTTTACGGAGTCCAGCAACCAGGAAACACGGCAGCCGGTGGACCTAGCAGCTGCCAGAAGATTCGGATTTGGGATCCCAGGAGGAGTTAGAGAACCAGGACCGGATGGGAGTTTGTGGTGCCTGTCCTGTTGAACGGGCTGCTGTGACAGCTCCAGTGAGTGGTGAGTAGGCCTGCACTTCGAGTAGCCTAGCATTGGGTCAGGGTGCGTTAGGGGGGGCTCTCAATGTCTGGATCAGACTGCGCATGGTGAATTGCTGCGCTTGCTTAGGGATGTAGCGGATAGGTTGCAAGGGACTGCTGCACCTAGACCAGGGACACACACACAGGGTGCTGGAGAAGGCACAGGCATGGGGAGGGGCCTTTTGTCCCTCCCTGCCTGGATGTGAGTTGTCTACTTTGGGCATGCATGCCCCAGCAAAGACATGTGGCAAGATCATAAAAGGGGTTCCCCCTGAGAAGGATTCTGTGGATAGGCCACGTTGTGGCAATCCACAGGACACAGACAAGAGTTAACAACTCCTACATACGTTTGGGAATTGGTTACAGGGGATTGCGGTTTTTACAAGTAGAGGGACCCGGAGCGGGCGCCGTCGTTGACCCAGAGCGGGCGCTGTCATTGTTTGTATATTTGGACCTTTTTTGGGGTGCTTATAAGGTTTAAGGGGGTCAGAGCTGATTCCGATATGACCAGCTGGTCAGGCAAAAGATGGACTTCAGCACTCAGGATGGCAGCAGGTAGCTGTTGTTCATGACTCCCAGTCATCCCTCTTCCTTTCCAAGGGCAGCCAGCGCACTCACCGGTGCTCCAGCTGGTCACAAAAAAGGAGTGTGCTGGCTCCTTGATGAGAACCACTGCCGGTGGTACTCCTCCTGCAGGTTTAAGCATGAGTGCTTGCATTGCGGGGAGGCTCAACCCACAATTTGATGCTTTAAGAAGGCAAAACAGACATTGCCTATGTCTTGGGCCTGGGAGGATGGTTCTAAGGGAGAGAATGCCAGTGAGCATGACAAGGATGTTGTTGTGGCTCAAGCTCTACCCTAAACACTGTGACACCGTGGTGTTGGGAGAAGGGTTTTGAGTCGGATTTTGGATTCCCTTTGTTTTTTCACCGGAACCACCTTTTGCTGATAATCTGCGGTCGGTTTGGGGTAGAGAGGACATGTTGGGCAACAAGTTGTCTAAGGAGACATCGCTAGGTCGCATGGTGGGGCAATCCCCTTTCCTAACCTGCAGGTATCTCCCTTTGGGTTGGTGCCAAAAAAGGATGCTGGTTCCTTTCGTATGATTCATCACCTGTCCTACCCAACTGGGAGTTCGGTGAGTGATGACATTGACAAGGAGTTCAGCAGGGTACGGTACACATCCTTCGATCGAGCGTTGTCTCTGGTTAGGAGAGCAGGAGTGGGGGCAGTCCTTGCAAAATCGGACATTGAATCAGCATTTCAGTTGTTGCCAGTTCACCTGGAATGTTTTCACCTTCTGAGTTGTCATTTTCAGGGGTTGTATTTCTATGACATGTGCCTCCCCATGGGCTGCTCCATTTCGTGTTCATATTTTGAAACGTTTGCAGTTTTCGGGCATTGATTTGGTAACTTATTATCTCTATGACTTCCTGTTTGTGGGTCCTCGGGAGAGTGAGTGGTGTGCCCAGTTATTTTCGGTGTACCATTCAGTGGCAACTTTGTTTGGTGTGTCAGTGGTGGAGCAGAAGACGGAAGAGCCGTCCACTACGATGTACATGATTTTTTTCCGTCTGCCAGACGAAAAAGCTCATAGTGCTGCTGAGGCTGGTTAATCTGGTGAAGGCTGCGTGGAAGGACCAGCTACGGACAATGCAGTTGTTGCTGGGTTATCTGGCCTTTTCTTGCAGGGTACTGCCAATGTGTCGGGCTGACCTGCATATCTCTCTAGACATCATGAGCAAACCTATTTCAGCTGCCTCCCGTTCTCAGTATTTTCTTGCACCACGTTTTTTGCTCTCCATAAGTTGAAAAGGGTAATCCAGACATGGACCCCTTGCTCACGGTGCCTAGAGAGATATCAGCTATGCCTCACTGATGATGCCTAACAAGGCTGAAACGATCGTCTAGGGTTGCTATGTCTCTCGTGCAGAGAGAACTTGCTGGCATTTTGGATATGGATTTCCCGTATGGGTGGGACCAGACTGATATGTTTCAGAGATGTTCTCTCTGTAATGGCACAAGATGAGCTAAAACCAGCTTGAGATCTGAGCGGGGACCCACTGAAGGGCAGGCTATTTCAGCTGCTGCCCGTTCTGAGTAGACTTTTGCGCCACTTTTTTTTGTTCTTTTAATTAAAAATGGATCAACTGAACCAAGTTTTTTTTTTTTGATGTGCACAAGTCTAGTTTTAACAGTACACCCACAAAAATTTAAGACCTTTAGAAAATAATGGTACAAATAACAAAACCGAAACATTGACAAAACATCATCTTCATGTTATAAAACAGGTGAAACGTTGCTCAGTAATGAAGAGTACATGTGGTTTTATGTAATTGTATCAAACTATAGAGACAGAAGTAAGTGTGAATTTAAGTAGTCTTATCCTGAGATAAATATAATCTGATTATATTATACCCTTCCAAATATTCTATATATTGAACTATAATGAAGACAAGCTTATAGGAACAGCTGTTGTAGTAATCAAATAATGATGCGTTCTTTATCCTTTGCAAAGCAATAAACCTGAAAGCAGTTTTTGAATGATGACTGTTCCTGTCACTATTTTAATATATGGTCAGAGCAAGTAAGAAGGGCCTATTATTTCACCATGGATCCTACTAGCACTCCGGTAACTTTGTATAATGACAATTCCACGTCAAATCCCACCATTTTTCCAAGATCTGGATATAACATTTTGGCATTTGTGATGTTTCTAAATGCTGTGTTTTCAATATTTAACAACACGTTAGTAATTCTAGTGACTTTAAAATATCCTCAGCTTCGGAATCCTATGAATATTTTTATCTTAAATATGTCATTTTCAGATTTGATGATGACACTTTGTGGCACTACAGTTGTGGTTAGTACCAACTATCATGGATATTTCTACCTGGGTGAAAACTTCTGCACTTTTCAGGGATTTGCTGTAAATTATTTTGGTAAGTTACAACTGTATCATTTTATTGCTTTATTCATTTTAAATATTATAGGTTTATGCCAAAATGGAATAGATTTTAATAACACTCTGGATTTTAAGTAACTCTTCTCTGGGTGGCTTTAGTTGATATGAGTTTAAAGTCACTACAATTTGTTGTTTAGTGAATCCTGTCTTTTTAATTTTCACTCCTTATACTAACATAGTGATTCAGTTATTATTATTATTATTATTATTATTACCTAATACTTGTGCTGCTATGGGAAGCATTTGTAGTAGTATGACTGCAGAGTTGGGAAAAGTAAAATAAAAATATCACATTCCATTTGCCAATATTCCTTATCAGATATTTTGTGCATGACACCAGAATATTTTAAAAGGTTAAACTAAAATGTAATATTTCTGCTTAAAAATAACTTTATGATATATGAGTCAAGTTGTTATGCTGTACAAAATGCACTTTACACTGTTTGCACAGTACCTTCACCCTTTCAGAACCAGAGTTTGGCAAATCTCTTGTTATCTGGGCAGTCCTATCGTGTCATTGATCCAGTAGGGGTTAATTCAAAGTTAAATCATTATGTCCTTTTTTACATAGCAACAGAGGTTATAAGCCTGAAATAAAATGTAATGCATCAATTAGATGTTTAGATATTCATATTTCTACTATTGCCAGTTACTTAAAACTAAGTTTTGTACTGAAAAACAGCAGAAAAATAATCTCCATTCTGTTCATCAAAACAATTATTCTCGGTGGACTATTTACACAGAGTTGGGAGTTGTGGCTATCCGACCACCAGTTCTGAAAAACTGAGCTAGAGAAGTTAAGTTTGCAGAACTCTTTAACTTGGCAAACTCAGTGATTATTGAGTAACTGTGCAATGGTTAGTGAACGGATCCAATAGTTTAGGATAATCAATTTATTGTTTATTAAATTGACCGCCATGGTTTTGAAGTCAGCTCATTCGGTACTAAGGTACAGCTACAAGTGTACTAAATTATCAAAAAAAATGTATCCATATTTCTTATGTAAACATATTTTCTCCTAAGACATGCTTTAGAACTCTTTTCCCAAAACATCTGACTTAATATATTATTTTTTCTTTGTTGCAGGAATAGTTTCGCTGTGGTCTCTGACCGTCCTGGCATATGAGAGATATAACGTAGTGTGTCAACCAATAGGAGCATTGAAGCTAAGCACCATAAGAGGTTATCGTGGACTGGCATTTATCTGGCTCTTCTGTCTTATTTGGGCCATTGCCCCATTGTTTGGCTGGAGCTCTTATGCTCCAGAAGGTGTCCAGACCTCTTGTTCCATCGGCTGGGAAGTAAGATCCTGGAACAACTACAGCTACTCAATCACCCTATTTATCACAAGTTTTATCATTCCTGTAGGTATTATAGGAATGTCATATGGAAGCATTATCCTCTCTTTGTACAAGGTATGTTTCACACTGTGTAAAATAAACTTCATGTCTTTTTGTTAAAATAATTATTTTACAAAAATAAATAAAATTTCACATTGAGAGAGTTTCTATCCTAGTGCATATCAAAAATAAATAAAAATAAATTAATGAACAAAACGCAACCATTTTAAGTAGATCAAGGATGCTCAAAAGGTATGTGATGAGACCAATCTCGCCACTGTGCATTGGAGGAGCCTGGTTGCCTGCCTGCTGCCATTTGACTATGGACCGGCATTTAAATACTTTATTTTCCTATGCAGAAAGGTCTTTTCATGTTTTCTGCCCTGGCGTTCGGTAGATTCTCGGATTTACTGAATGAACTCATTTAACCCAGATAGCTATGCCATGAAGTCTAATAAAAGACTTTGGCTCCATGGCAATTGAACTGTATGTGTGTGTGGTCTCAGCGCCATTCAGTATTAATGTGTGCTCAGCCCTAAGCTATCTGGGCATATGTTGCATATTTTTTTTTTTTCATAAATGTAACCATGTGTATTTTATTGTATTTTACTGTCTTTTTACTGCCATGTGCTTAATGGAGTTTTGCCTCTGTCCTTGGAGATAATTGGATTAATTCCCAATTATCTACAGGATAGAAGACTATGTGGAACTGGTTTTGGGCAGAAAAGCCATGCTTCCTTTGGTCACAAAGGACTTCGATCTATCTTTTGAACCAATGGACCAATTTGGATGATTTTGTTATGTTTGTATTTGGAGTATGTTGATTCTGAAAATGTTTTATGTGAATGTGATGCATACTTTTAAAGTTATGAATAATGTGGAAAAACTGTATTTCTCTGCCTGTGATAATTACATTACCCATTGTGTAAGGTAATTCTATCACAGGCAGAGGGGAGGATTTTGTGTGGGAGTGTCTGAGTGTATTGTACGTGTTTATTGGTTGTTTTCCAAAATCCTGTGGGTGGTACTAATGTGTAAGAATGTGTATATAAGAACAATAAGCCTACAGCTCTGTCTGTTCCTGCTTGACCCTCAAAACGGAGCCTTGTCTCGTTCTTGGGGGGATTTATTGTCTGCTGTTCCAGTTTCAACTCCTGGGAGTGTAAACCTATTCGTATGGTTTTTCCTGTTCGGCTGTTTACAGCATTCGTATGTTTGAGAGCATTCATATGCTTCTTCGGTTCGGTGTATTGGTGTCTACAATAGCTGTGCCTGTGTCTCTGGAAGGGAAGATCTACTAAATGACGGTTTAACCCTTTTATGCCTGGGGGTGCCATTACAAGGTAGATCCCCAGATGTTGTAGAACTACAGCCCCCATGATGCTTTGCATGCCTTTATAATTACAAAGCATCATGGAAGATGTAGTTTTAAAATATCTGGGGAATCTACCTTTTGCGCATCCCTGAAGAAGACCGTTTTGTATATGCTTTTATTTTTTTAAGTGTTGATGAATATGTTTGTGCATTGTACATTAAATTCTAGTTGTATATGAATATGACATTTCAAATATTACCTAAATCACCAGAGAGAACTTTGGCAGATAAGCTATGGATTGCCACCTTTGCAATTGAATTAATTTTTCTATATGAGTCAGAAAATCCCTGTGCCCTACTTTATCAACTCTCTTTACATCATTCCATAAAGCCAGCTTCAAAACAACGTACGACACAATTATTATATATTTCTTTATTTTTTTAGGAGCGTAGGGGTGGGTTGTTGTCATTTCTTTTTCACTTGTCTACTCACTACTTTGCAACGAGACCTAACCTAGCTTTTTTTCTGCAGGTATCTCCTCTCTTCCTTACGAACCCACGAGTGTACTTAACTGCCTGTTTCAAATTCAAGAAGTGTCCAAATATTTAATCTTATTTTCTACATTTTATTTCACACTCCAGATGTTTTCTGTAGGTTTTGATGCTAAACAGCTAGTCAAGGATTTAAATCATCTTTTATTCACGCCATAAAAAATTGTCTTTATAAATTATATAACTTTCCTCACTTTAGATGGATTAATCTTCAGAATACGTACAATTAGAATGTAACCACCTGCTATGCAATAGATTGGATACATAATGCTTAAATACACTATTGCAGGGGTCCTCAAACTCTGGCCCCCCAGGTGTTGCTGAACTACAACTCCCATGATTCTTTGAATTACATAGATAGCCAGAGAATCATGGGAGTTATAGTTCAGCAACATCTGGGGGGCCGGAGTTTGAGGACCCCTGCACTATTGGATCTGGGTTTGTTCACATATAACCTTATAAAATCCTTATTTTGTGTTATTTATACACTATCTCACTATATCACTATCACTATCTCAAGCAATAACAGAGGATCCCTTGATATTTACGATGCATATACTACAGCATAAATATTGCTTGATATAGATTAAGACCTTATAATTGTGAGGTCATACAGTAAATCAGATATGTGATTAAAATGCAAATTAGCAAGTGATGCAACAGTCCTGTGCATGCAAGGCAAGAGAGGGCTACAAACAATTAGAATGGCTAGAAATGTGGTCACGAGATTCAGAACAAGTCAATGTACAAAATAAGGAAATGAGTACACAAGAAAAAAATATGTATTTCTTGTAATATTTTAGCCTAAATCTATTCTTGGTTCACAATCACTGCTTCTTGAAAAGATCCCTCTATAAAACTCAGAAATTACTTCTTGTTTGTGTTTTTGTTTTTATTTCTCTTCTCAAATAGCTGAACCGGAAAATTGAAGAACAAGGAGGAAAGACCAATCGTGAAGAAGAAATACGAGTTGCTGTCATGGTCCTTTTAATGGTGGTTGCCTTCCTTGTGTGCTGGCTACCGTACACCATCTTCGCAATGATTGTGGTTATTAATCCAACACTTTATATTTCACCTCTTCTTGCAACTCTTCCTACGTATTTTGCCAAGACCAGTCCCATCTACAATCCAATCATCTACATATTTCTTAACAAAGAGGTATATTTACTGCTAATTTTACTGAGAACAATATACTGTGTTTAGGTGTAAACACAGCACAACAACAATTGTCTGTATTCTGGAAGTAATTGTTAGTCATCCAACTTTCAGGGGCATTTTCCAGAAGTCAAACAGTGCTATCTTTAGAAATTATTGCTTGAAGTAGAGTCCCCCCCAATAATTTATATGTACGGTTGGGGGGTGTAATTTTTAAGGTTTTTGCTTTTAATCAATGTATACCTCAGAAAAGGCACAATACATTAAAATGTAAAGCAAAGATTTGCTAATGTAGTCAATTCCAATTAGCTGGGAGTACAAAAACACACATTGTCATAGTGGTCTGAAGCTGTACCAAATACTTTTAAAGATGAAATCTAACTAAATGGGTCCTACTGCATACATTGTGGCTCACAAACATTGGCACAGGATTTACTTGAGATATTCACAAAACTTAACACACCAGACACACACCATTAATGAGATTGCCTAATTCAAAGCTGTGTTGGGCTGACTTACAGCTGCACAGATTTTTACTAATTGTGGCGAGTTCTTGCAGCATACTCTCTGCGGCATATATTTTGCTATCATGCAAAGCTGTTTTTGTATTTAGGCTGACACTTTGATGACGAGTGCACATATACGAACAAGCAACTATTTTTGGTGGTACAGTAGAAGGATTCATCTTCAAAAAATTTAGAGTTTCAGTACAATGTGTGGAGCTCTTATTTAATTAACACCAGTGAATGTAATATGTGTTACAAATAATACCTTTTGAGTGAATAGGAACGTTGAATTGTAGATAATAGTATATACCCTTTAAAAAATAAAATAAACATAAAAACGTAATAGACTAAAAAATCTTAATTAAGTAACATTTGAACACATACATGGACTAGAGCTAAGAACCTAGCTCCTACATCCTAGGATACGGGTGGCATGGTCCTTTCGACTCTCAACTTGTGAGTACATATACTTACATATATATTTATTCTATCATTTGCACTAGTACCCTATGTGCATATCACTTCCTTTGATATATAAGAAGAAGAGGATTTAATTTACCTGGTTTACACAGTTACCAAGAAGGGAGGGGTCGCCTGTATGGATCCAAACATCTATTATACCAGAGCTAGGTTCTTAGCTCTAGTCCATGTGAGTGTTCAATTGTTATTTAATTAAGAATTTTTGGTCTACTACGTGGTTAAACCATGTTGATTATTTAATGTTTTAAGGTATACCCTGCTACCTAAAAATCCAACATACCTATTCACTCAAAAGGTATTATTTGTAACACATATTACGTCCACTGGTGTTAATTAAATAAGAGCTCCACTGATTTTCTTGTTGTCATTATTGAGTTTATTGGTGTATCTCGGAGGATTATAAATCACCATGTGGAAGCTGCTATAATTGTATGTTTTTTACACTCCAAATAATTTTAAAGGTATCATTTTAACACTTGTACACTTCAACACTTTATTATATCAGTACAATGTGTACCTGATCATGTAGAAATATATTTGCTTTATAATATATTTCTATATATTTGTTTTAAAATAGTCACATGAAAATGCTGAAAAGTATAAAGCAAAACTCCCTGGCTTCAAAATGGCCTTTTTAATGAATTTAGGAGAACCGATTAATGGATTTCAGAAATACCATGGAATCATTGTGGCAGGTCAATATGAATGTTGATTTAAATTGATACTTGGTCATAGGGCTTGGGTGATAGTGTCTATTAATGATGAGTACATTTTAGATTCAGTACTGCCAGTCATTTAATATAATGTTTCTAAGTTATTATTACATTTGTTCAATACATATTGTTTTCTTTGTAGTTCCGAAACTGTGCTGTTATGTTTCTAACCTGTGGCCACATAAGCCTGTCCACACCAGAAGAGGAGACTGCATCTGTTGAAATACAAATTATCTCCAAACAAAATCAAGTTGCTCCGGCAGAGTGAACATTGAATTAAATGATAAATGTTTATATTTATTTTGTAAAACTTGGAACCTTTCATATAGTACCTGTGTTTGGCCACTCATCTGTGATAAGTTGGCAAGGTCAGTGCTGCCATTAGAACTCTTGAGAACCATAGCAAAACCATTATCTGGGTACTCCCCCAATTCACACTAACAGACAAAAAGACACATGCATCCATACACACAGATACATATTTCACTCTTGCACATTTTCACACACACAGATACACACTTTCACATACAGAAAAACACTGCCACAAGCATACTTAGATGCACTCTGCCACATACAAACACAGATACACACTGCTTCATACATACACATACACAAATAGAAACACACTGCCAGATACAGATGAACACACATACACAGCACACACAGATACACACTGCCACACATGTACACAAACCAATACAAAGTCCCATACAAAGATACACACTGCCACACACAAATACACAGAGATACAGTGCATACATACAGGCTAAAACACCCACTTCCAGGAGTAGGGTTGAATTCCTCGCTTCCACTGGGGCAGTCAGGTGCTCTAGGTTTACAAGAAGTGCTGAAGTTCTCTGATTTACTTCTCGTACTGAGAGGAAGTGGACTTATATCACTTCCTCACACTGATGCCACATAGGAGACTAATGAGGGTTGTCAATACAAAGCAGAACCTGCTCAGCCTCAAATTCAGAATTGGTTCGCTATAGTTGATTGGCAAATCTCTGCAACCAGACTGCTTAGTACTTTCATGCCCAGGCCGCAGAGTTCCAGGTGCCACCCCCTGTATATTTATATATATATATATATATATATATATATATACACACACACACACAGTCTCTCACAAACATGAGTATGCCCCTCACATTTTTGTAAATATTTTATTATATCTTTTCATGTGACAACACTTAGGAAATGACACTCTGCTACTATGTAAAGTAGTAAGTGTACACCCTGTATAACAGTGTAAATTTGCTGTCCCCTCAAAATAACTTAACACACAGCCATTAATATCTAAACTGTTGGCAACAAATGTGAGTACACCCCTAAGTGGAAATGTCCAAATTGGTCCCAATTAGCTATATTCCCTGCCCGGTGTCATGTGACTTGTTAGTGTTACAAGGTCTCAGGTGTGAATGAGGAGCAGGTGTGTTAAATTTGGTGTTATCGCTCTTACACTCTATCATACTGGTCACTGGAAGTTCAACATGGCACCTCATGGCAAAGAACTCTCTAAGGATCTGGAAAAAAAAATTGTTGCTCTACATAAATATGGCCTAGGTTATACCTAGAATGGGAAGACCGTGAAACTGAGATGCAGCACGGTGGGCAAGACCATACAGTGGTTTCACAGGACAGGTTCCACTCAGAACATGCCTCGTCGTGGTCGATCAAATAAGTTGAGTGCAGACTGTCAGTGCTCAGACCATACACTGCACACTGCATCAAATTGGTCTGCATGGCTGTCATCCCAGAAGGAAGCTTCTTCTAAAGATGATGCACAAGAAGGTTTGCTGAAGACAAGTAGACTAAGGACATGGATTACTGGAACCATGTCCTGTGGTCCAATGAGACCAAGATAAACTTATTTGGTTCAGATGATGTCCAGCATGTGTGGCGGCAGCGAGGTGAGGAGTACAGTCAAGCATGGTGGTGGGAGTGTCATGGTATGGGAATGCATGAGTGCTGCTGGCACTGAATGCCAACATGTACTGTGACATACTGAAGTAGAGCATGATCTCCTTCCTTTGGAGACTGGGCCACAGGGCAGTATTCCAACATGATAACGACCCCAAACACGCCTCCAAGATGACCACTTCCATGCTAAAGAAGCTGAAGGTAAAGGTGATGGACTGGCCAAGCATTTCTCCAGACCTAAACCCTATTGAGCATCTTTGGGGCATCCTCTAATGTAAGGTGGGGGAGCACAAGGTCTTTAACATCCACCAGCTCCGTGATGTCATCATGGAGGAGTGGAAGCTGACTCCAGTGGCAGCCTGTAAAGCTCTGGTGAACTCCATGCCCATGAGGGTTAAGGCAGTGCTGGAAAAATAATGATGACCACACAAAATATTGACACTTTGGGCCCAATTTGGACATTTCCATTTAGGGGTGTACTCACTTTTGCTGCCAACGGTTTAGACATTAATGGTTGTGTGTTGAGTTATTTTGAGGGGACAGCAAATGTACACTGGTATACAGGCTGTACACCTACTACTTTACATTGTGTCAGAGTGTCATTTCTTCAGTGTTTTCAAAGATATAATAAAATATTTACAAAAATGTGAGGGTGTACTCACTTTTGTGAGATACTGTATATGTGTACACACTTACACACTTTATATCCTTATAGAAAGGAGATATTCAATTTGGCCAAGGGAATGCAATATATCTTCCTCTTGTTGATGATTTAATACATGCTCAAGTGTGTACCTGAAATGCATCTAACCATTTAACTGTTAGACCATTGGACTAATGATGAAGAGAAAAATAAACTTTGTTAGCAATGTGTTGGATTGATGTGCTAAAGGGGATTATAAAATGTTCCACTGAGTGATTCCTGTAAAGTGACTAACTCCAATAAAGTTTACAGATTGGGAAAAAGTTTAAATATTATGTTTAAAATTATGTCAGTCAAAAAAATTAAAGTTCAGTGGGTTTCACACCCTTACCATCAAGGTATGGTGTTAAAGCACCACTATAGTGCCAGGAAAACATACTCGTTTTCCTGGCACTATAGTGCCCTGAGGGTGCCCCCACCCTCAGGGTCCCCCTCCCGCCCGGCTCTGGAAGGGGGAAATGGGTAAAAACTTACCTTTTTCCAGCGCTGGGCGGGGAGCTCTCCTCCTCCGATCCTCCTCTTCTCCTCCCCGTCGGCTGAATGCGCACGTGCGGCAAGAGCTGCGCGCGCATTCAGCCGGTCACATAGGAAAGCATTCTCAATGCTTTCCTATGGACGCTTGCGTGCTCTCACTGTGATTTTCACAGTGAGAAGCACGCAAGCGCCTCTAGCGGCTGTCAATGAGACAGCCACTAGAGGAATAGGGGGAAGGCTTAACCCATTCATAAACATAGCAGTTTCTCTGAAACTGCTATGTTTATAAAAGAATGGGTTAAGCGTAGCTGGACCTGGCACCCAGACCACTTCATTAAGCTGAAGTGGTCTGGGTGCCTAGAGTGGTCCTTTAACCTGGAAGCCTTCGTTAGACAGCTCTTGCAAGCAGTATTTTAAAGAATGATGAAAGTAAAAATTTCCAACCCTGTACATGTTACAGTCTATAATGTATGTGGCTGCAAAGCTTATCTTCCTTCCCGCTCCTCCCATGCCTCCCCACTCTGTCAGTCCCTACGTTGGCTTCCTGTAAGATATTGGGCTCAATTTACAATTCTGGTGCTTGCTTACAAATCTCTACATAATGCTGTCCCTACCTATTCCCACTAATACACATATATATCCCATCCAGGACCCTACAATCTACCGTAGCTCTGCGTCTATTCTCTATTCATACTTGCACCTCTGACACCCACCTTCAAGACTTCGCTAGGGCTGCACCTTTCTTATGGAACTCTATTCCTTGCTCTGTTAGACTCTTATCCTGTCTCCACTCCTTCAAAAGATCATTAAAAACCCACTTCTTTAGAAAAGCCTATCAATTAAACTGTTAATAACCTTCCCCCCGTAGCTATGTCATCCAAGAAACCAACCCTTCACTGTAAACTATTTTAGTAACCTATTTTTTCCCAATACATAAAATACATCCTACCCCTACCTCTTGTGCCTCTTTACCCCACTCTCTTGAGAATGGCCCTCTACACCCTGTGCATCAAGCTTGTCTGGTTGCAGTTACATGTTAACCCACCTATTGTACAGCACTACAGAATTTGCTGGTGCTTTATAAATAATAAAAAAGATATTCATCCAGTATTCTTATATAATCGTAGATGTAAGATTTGCCAGCCTTTACCTTGTATATGTTCATTTGTTAAATATTTCTCAAGTTGGTGGGAAACAGAAATCACAGCAGTAATTGGAGAGGAGAGTGTGCTGGTGGGGCACATGAAGAAGCTTATGCTGTAACCGGCAATGGTTATCCTGGTATACTTGATGGTCAAAGACTAGAATCTGTACCTGGTGGTACATAGCCTGGTGCCACAAATAATTATGGAAATACTTGTATCAGATAATGGGTAACACAAATATAAAATTATTCTGAATCAATGTTCATGGAAAACTAAAGGACAGTGAGCCCCCCAAAAAAGTTGAGGCATGTATAATCTCACAGCTGATACAAACTTGCATGCAGAAGTGATCTCTTTATAGTAATAGTAAGCCATGATTATATGACAGTATCATAAAAAAACAGCAGAGGGCAGTCTTGTTACACGGTATAAATATGTTCCCCATGAAGCCAATATATATATTGCAACTATGTAATGGATGTTTATCAACTAAAGTTAATTAGATAATCATTCATCTTTTGTGGAAATTTTCGATACTCAAATTATCGAAGATGCATGACTACAAATAAATACATAATAAGGATTATTAGCAAAATTGTGAATTGCCAGGAATTCATCAAGACATTCCAAATTTACAGACAAAAAAAAAAACAGATGACCTGGCAGCTGCATTTTGGCTATTTTGGTTGATTTGACTGTGCAGATACAGAGCCACAGGGACAAGTCCTTATGACATTTGCCTTTGTAATTGGCAAAACAGAGTTTGGCACCATTTGCTAAGGTGTTTTTTCTGTAAAATGGAATGTATCAATACATGTATAAGCCATTGGGCTTTCCTGATTTTCATAAAACCTTGTATCGTTACATCAAACGCTAGTTTTTCTGCCTTAAAGAATCGTCACGTTTTTGTTGGTGATTACTATTATTAGTGTTTTAGTGTTTATATAGTGACAACATATTCTAATCTACAGTGCTAAACAGTGATAGAATTTACATACAGAGCATAACAGAGATTAGAAGGAA